GTTTGCGGATAAAATCAGATGTTTGCGAATAAAATCAGATGTTTGGAGATTAAAACAGATGTTTGCGGATAAAAGCAGATGTTTGCTGATAAAATCAGATGTTTGGAGATTAAAACAGATGTTTGCGGATAAAAGCAGATGTTTGCTGATAAAATCAGATGATTGCGAATAAAATCAGTTGTTTGTGGATAAATTCAGATGTTTGCGGATAAAAGCAGATGTATGCAGATAAAATCAGATGTTTGCGGATAAAGGCAGATGTTTGCGGGGGTGCACTAACCGGATGAAATAAGGCGTTCGCAGATAAAAGCATGTTTACGGGTGAAACCGTATGAAACCAGATGTTCGCGGATAAAATGAGATGTTTGCGGATAAAAGCAAATGTTTGGGGATGAAAGCAGATGTTTGCGGATAAAAGCAGACGTTCGCGGATAAAATGAGATGTTTGCGGATAAAAGCAGATGTTCGCGGATAAAAGCAGATATTTGCGGATAAAATCAGATGTTTGCAGATAAAAGCAAATGTTTGGGGATGAAAGCAGATGTTTGCGGATAAAAGCAGATGTTCGCGGATAAAATGAGATGTTTGCGGATAAAAGCAGATGTTCGCGGATAAAATGAGATGTTCGCGGATAAAAGCAGATGTTCGCGGATGAAAGCAGATGTTTGCGGATAAAAGTAGATGTTTGCGGGTGATTGCAGATGTTCGCGGATAAAAGCAGTTGTTCGCGGGTGACTGCATATGTTCGCGGATGAAAGCAGATGTTTGCGGATAAAAGCAGATGTTCGCGGATAAAATGAGATGTTTGCGGATAAAAGCAGATGTTCGCGGATGATTGCAGATGTTCGCGGATAAAATGAGATGTTCGCGGATGAAAGCAGATGTTCGCGGGTGATTGCAGATGTTGGAGGATAAAAGCAGATGTTTGCGGGGGTGCACTAACCGGATGAAATCAGGCGTTCGCAGATAAAAGCATGTTTGTGGGTGAAACCGTATGAAAGCAGATGTTTGCAGATAAAACTAGATGTTCGCGGGTGATTGCAGATGTTCGCGGGTGATTGCAGATGTTCGCGGATAAAAGCAGTTGTTCGCGGGTGACTGCAGATGTTCGCGGATAAAAGCAGATGTTCGCGGATAAAAGCAGATGTTGGCGGATAAAATCAGATGTTCGCGGATGATTGCAGATGTTCGCGGGTAAAAGCATATGCTCGCAGATAAAACCAGACGTTTGCAGATAAAACCCGACAAAAATAGACGAAAAAAAATACAGGTAATCGCGGATAAAAACAGACGTAAGCAGACGTTTGCAGATGATTCCGGACAAATTCAGATATAAAGGAAACACAGTGAAGACGGTTAAAAACAGATGATTGCAGATGATTGCGGGGGTGCACTAACCGGACATAAAACACAACCAACCGGGTGTTCGCGGATATAGCGATGCGGACAAAAGCAGATGTTATCAGATGATATTTTTACCCGTTTTTATCTGCGTTTATCCGGCTTCGACGAAGAATTTATACCCGCAATCATCTGCTTTTATCCGGTTTTGACGAAGAATTTATATCCGCAATCATCCGTCATTTTCAGCAGGGAAGACAGGTGACAGTTTCATGTAGTAAGTGACAGGGTGTTTCTACTTTTTTATAAATATTAAATAAAAACCATCTTCAGGGGCTCCCTTTTCGGGAGCTGTAACTCCCTTAGGAGGCATTTCTCGACCTATATTTATAGGGACTATTTTCTTATTTTTGCACGTAGAATCTGCTGTTAAAGTATGGTGCACTAATTTCGGAACACCCTGTATATTATATATAGCGACTTGCCATAATAAACAATACTTATGTAATTCTGTAATTATCAATTACTAAGGCCCGGTTTTATCATCACTAGTTAAAATTAAATTGCTACTTAATTGGTAGTTAATTTGTTTTTGTGTTTACAATTAGTAGTTATTTATCAAATTTAAGTGCAGATTATGTTTGAGTTTCCGTAACTACCACCAAAGATAATACCCCTGGGGTCAGTGGCGTATTTAGGATTTAGCTGCTATGCTTTAATAACTATCTATTCATGGTATAGTTCTATTTCTGTTCGCGCCTCGATCATAACGACACGAGAAAGAGGTAGGAACGATATACCTACATGGTTGCCAAACCACCTCTTTCTCTTTAATACGTAAGTAGTTGATTTTTGATTTTAATGATTTTATATTTAATAAATAATCAAGTACGTTGACAGTCTTGAGGTTTTTATTGTAATAAAAATAATAAAATATGTGCGCCCGGGGGGGTCCGGACCTAGCGGACCCCCCCTAAATACGCCACTGCCTGGGGTGTATTATCTTTGACTACCACTTCTTGTATTAGTAAAGTTGTGGTTAACCTAAAAATACATTTAATATTGTGCTAATTTATAGTGTACTGTCTTCTTTCTACTGTGGTTGGCCATATGGGAACTTTACATGATTAAATAGGAAAAAAATCAATGAATCCAAGGATGTATCTAAACTGCGCACCACTCAATGTGTCGCGACCAAAAATTTCATCCATTTTCAAAACGACATAACTTTTTTATTTATTAAACGATTTTATTTTGGTTTGTGATGTCTGCTAGCCCCATTCTCTGGCAATTCATGCTATAGATGTGAAGCTCACGGTTCTTCAAGTAAATTTACTACAGGGTGATATGTAAAACAGTGAAAAATTTCAATAACTTCATCCAAGCCCCGTTTGTAAAATAAATATTTTTTTCTCGTTTTTACTTAGAAATAATGAAGTATTATGTCTTACCTTGAAACGTTTTTTAAATTTTTCAAATTGGAATCTTAGCAACAAAAATATGATTTTTTTTTCAATGGAGTACATTTGATGCTTTCTTGTAGGCAATACACTCAGCCTCTTTAAGAACAAAAATATAAGATGGTGAAAGATTGTTCCTTGAATAATTCTGAACAAGCGACAAGCAACAAACTTCCATTATTTTCAGAGGAACCTAAGCAAAGACCACTTTTTCAAAATTAAATTTTGGTGAAAATTTTCGAAAATTAAACCTGAACCGATATTTACGTTCGTGACATGTTTTCTTCATAATTTTGACCTGATTGTGATTCAGTTGTCAAATTTAGGTTTCAGATAAAACCAAAATCACCAAGAATCAAAATTCGAAAACAATTCCTGGATGTTAAATGTCTCATTAAAATCTGATTGCTGGATTTTACTGTTTTTTACTGTGTTTTGCATTTTTAGTACGTTATTATCATGTCACTGAATGATCAAATCAAGGATCAAATGATGAAAATTAAATGCCAATAATTTGGTATTGGTGCCACCAATTGGTGGACGACAATGCCCGTCCGCATAGCGCTTATATCGTAAATGAGTATTTAAGGGACCATGATATTGAGATAATGAATTGGCCACCTTTGTCTCCGGATATGAATCCTATTGAGCATGTGTGGAGCAGGATGAAACTGAAGATGAAAGAGAGGAAAGGACGCATGGAAAAATTTGGATGAATTGGTAAATTCGATTCAGGAAGAATGGGAAGCCATATCCCAGAAATTTCTAAGGAACTTGGTCTAGGGAATGCTCATTCGTTAATTATCACGGGTTAGGGGAGGGCCAACAAAATATTGAAAGTTATTATTGTTATTGTTTGTTACATTTTTCTGTTGAATGTTGTAGTTTTTATTATGATTATATCTTCGCATAAAATTTTCAAAAATAAACAAACAAATATGTATTTAACTTTATTACCAATTAGGTAGGTACTTTTCAGTAATAAGTTATCACTAGTGCGCAATATAAATGTAATTTATGTAACATTATCCTAACCACTCAAACAAAAATGAATCCCCAAATGGCATTGGCAAAGGCATGTTATTGAGACATTTAACAGCCGGGAATTGTTTTCGAATTTTGATTCTTGGTGATTTTGGTTTCATCTAAAACTTAAATTTGACAACTGAATCACATCAGGAGGTCAAAATTATAAAGCAAACATGTCACAAACGTAAATATCGGTTCAGGTTTAGTTTTCGAAAATTTTCTCCAAAATGTCATTTTGAAAAAGTGGCCTTTGCCCTCTGAAATTAATGGAAGTTTGTTGCTTGTCGCTTGTTTAGAATTATTTAAGGAACAATCTTTCACCATCTTATCTTTTTTATCTTAAAATGGCTCAGTGTATTGCCTACAAAAAAGCATCAAATGTACTCTTTTGAAAAAAAAATCACATTTTTGTTGCTAAGATTCCAATTCGAAAAATTTGAAAAACGTTTCAAGGTAAGACATAATACTTCATTATTTCAAAGTAAAAACGAGAAAAAAATATTTATTTTACAAACGGGGCTTGGATGAAGTTATTGAAATTTTTTACTGTTTTACATATCACCCTGTAGTAAATTTACTTGAAAAACCGTGAGCTTCATATCTATAGCATGAATTGCCAGAGAATGGGGATAGCAGACATCACAAACCAAAATAAAATCGTTCAAGAAACAAAAAAGTTATGTCGTTTTGAAAAAGGACGAAATTTTTGGTCGCGACACATTGACTGGTGCGCAGTTTATTATAAAAACAAAATATGGTGATAATAACTCAAAATATAGTAGAAAATAAATATAGATTAATTAATGTATGTGTTTGGTTACATGTAAAACTTACTTCAAAATTGATTTTTAGTTTTGAAAGGTTTTTAGTTTTATTCCATTTAAAAATTTCATATTGATAGGCTTGTATACAAGCCTATCAATATGAAATTTTTAAATGAATTATAATTACGCAACTTTTCTCTAATTTAACCGACCTTGTAGATCTTTAAATAAAAAAATACCCATGTAAGTATTATACACAAAGGATACTTGGTGCACCCTGTATATTACATCATTATACCATAGTACCAAATTTTGCATTTAAGTATAAACAGGATATTTAGTCTAAACTACTTATAATTATAAGTTAACTTTAAATTTTAAAGGGAAAAAAAATTAACAAACTTTTAAAAATAATTTGTATATTTATAAATAACCATAGTTCACAATAAATAAAATATTCATGAGTACAAAATTGTAAAAATATTGATCTTGTAATTTTTCTGTAAAATGGATAAATATTTTTCAAAAAAATGTAAACCACAAACTTAATAATTAAATAATTTAATTAATTTAATTTACAGTATATTTAGAGTACCCCTTATTTTTAAAAATGTATAATAAACATTAATTTTAAATAAGGTCCAATACTTTGTAAGGGTCAGCGTGAATTTTTCCATTCTTTTATTTGAACTACAATATTTTTGGTTATAGACAGACTTCACACAACATTGTGACATGACACAGAAAGCACCATGCCTTTTATTGGTTTTCAAAGTAAATTCTATACTTCTTAGTAAGTCGTTGGTTTTTAAAATCAGCAACATTTGTCTGTTAACGTTTTCTAGGATGCTGGACATTTGTGGCAACACTCCAGTGAATGTTTGTTGAAAGAATTCCTTTTCTGATTTGTTTGGCTCATATCTAAAAGCAGATCAAGTTTTTTTCTTTAACATGACATCTAAAGGGGAGGGGGTCCTAGGTTTTTAACAATATGTGAGGAAGGGGGTCTAATAATGCAAAAAAAATCATGACGTATTATGTGCATGACCTCTAAGGTAGCATTCATAACTATAGTATATTGTGCGACTAGTGGGAGAAAGAGGAGATTCCTCGAGCGTAGCGAGTGCGGTAACACGCGAGTGGAATTTTCTCTTTTGACCAATATTTGCACTCAGTATTATATTCAACTACCATAAGTCATTTAAAGACAATTTTATTTAATATTTTATCTGGCATCTAACAGCTGTCAAGCAGTTTTAACATTACTTTTTTCCAATTTTAACTACAGCCCGTGGAAGAAGTAAAGTTTGCCCACTGGTTAAAGTTAAGAAATTAAATGGGTGTTGAATAAAATAACTAAACATACTCACATATAAAAATAACGTACTTTACAGATGATGGAAATTATTTTTTACAATAAACGATAATACACTGCCCGCCAAAATTAACGCATAACTTTAAAAAGAACCATATAACAAATTTTGTTAGATTTTTAAAGTTTGTAATATTATTGATTTTTAGTTAAAATTTATTGTAGTTGTTTATCAATAAAAAAAAATTATAAAAGCATGTGCGCGTTTTTACACAAAAAAATTAAACACAAAAAAAGTTGTTTTATTTTAATCTTAGTTCAGTTTGATGCTTGTTCTCACAATATCACAGGTTATTTAAGTTTTAATTATTGTTTTCGCATAAAATGAACCGATAACAAATGCAAAATCGTAATTTATACGAAGCTGACCGCATTAGAGTCGTTACTGTTTACGGAAAAGGCTACACTTAAACTCAGCTGGCTCAACGATTCAATGTGAACCAATGAACAATCTCCAGAGTTCTGAAACGGTTCACCGAAACGGATAACAACACAAGAAGACCAGGTCAGGGTAGACAAAGAGTTAAGTACTTTTTTGCAAATTGAATTTGAATTAGAAGAAGATTTGCCGAAGACGATATCAGATATAATATATATTATATATTATACTCTGATGAGTCCAGATTCTGTCTTTTCTTAGACGATAGACGAAATGGGGTATACAGAAGACCAGCAGAACGATACGCACAGTGTAATATTGTTTGTACAATGAATTATGGATGCGGCTCTGTAATGGTTTGGGGTGGCATATATGCGAACGCTCGTACGAAGTTAGTACTAGTGGACAGAGGGCGGCTAACTGCACAACGATACATTATGGAGATTTTAGAAGATAATAATATTAATAATAATAAACAGTTTTGTTTATTGTCAAGTACAAAATAAATAAGGAATCTGGAAGGCAGTTTTAAACTAATTTCAAAATTCCAGTCCATAAAGAAAATAAAATATATGTAATAAGTAATTTAAACACACAAAAAAGTAACAAAACAAACACAATTAAAGAAATAAGCTATTTTAATTTAAAGTTGCTTCAAGCAAATACTTTTTATAAACCTATTTAAATTTATAAGTTTAAAGCGTTTTAAATGAGTGGGGTAAACTATTATATAATGCATAGACGTTGTAAGTAAAAGACCGTGTAAATATAGAGGTTTTATGAAGAGGTGGAGATATAAGGCCTTTATGTCTTAAATGTGACGTTATAATATCTTTTTTGGGTATCGGGTTTACTCTTGAAATCTTCCAAGCTTCTGGAAATGTTGTTCAATGCACCATTTGTTGGAAATAATTTTATGTTTATGCATGATAATGCCAGACCGCACGTAGCCAGAGTGGTGCAACAGTACCTTCAAGTGGTCGAAATTGCTGCAATGGTTTGGCCTCCCAGAAGTCCAGGCCACAATACCATTAAGCACATGTGGGATATCATGGGTAGACAACTTCCAAACCCTCCGAACAATTTAAATGACCTTTTTTAAGATTGGCCGAAATTTAGAATAAAATCACTGAAGAACAAATTCGGTCATTAATTTTTAGCATGAAAGATCGCTGTCAAGGTGTAATTAATGCCAGAGGAGGAAATACTAGATATTAATATTATTTTATTTACCTATAAAATATGTAATTTTGTACTTTTGGAAAATAAATTATTTTTAGAGTTTTTGAATAATTTTTTTGAATAAAATCAACTTTTTTTGATATTAATATAAATTTTACCTGTCAACTCCTTTTAGCACCGCATCCCAAGGTCTTCCAGAAACCATGCATACAAATAAACCAAACGCATCACCTTCTATTCCCAATTCTCCTGCATGTTTACGCATTGCGTTGCGATCTTTATTTAAAATACTTAACCACAGGTTAGCGTAACTTACTCTAACTTCATCTTTCAATTTCTACAAAAAAAATTAGAATTAACAAAAAAACTTCCTTTAGAGATTTTAAACAAATAATACAAAACACATGTACAATATTATTTTTTATATCCTATTCATAAAAACATTTCATAGAAATAAAATTCTGCAGGCGTGCAAACACTATTTAAAACTGGAACTCAGATTTATGTAATAAATAAATAAATATATATATATATATATATATATATATATATATATATATACATATACAGTGGACGGCAAAAGTAGGGAACAAATTCATTTAAAAATTTCCTGTAATTTTTCCAAAAAAATACTTAAACACGACGATTTTGAATGGCTAAGTTCTTTTCCTTCAAAAGCTAGGTTTTTACCTTTTAATCGTTTCATTTCTTTTTTCTTTGCAGGTTTGGCTTCTAAATTTTTAGTCATATTTTCCCTATCAGCCTGAGTTACCAGAGGTGTCTCTTAGCACTTTTTTGACGTCTGCACCTGGGTAAGAGCCTAAAATCTGTAGCATATCCAAATCATTCTTTGGAGCCCATCGACTTATAATAATTATTATTAATTATTGCCTTGTGCCAAAAGCGAACATATATTAGGCTGACAAAATGTGCAACCCTTTTCATTCCTTTTAATTCTTGTTGAGAACTGTTTAGTAAAGAGTACAATTTTAATTGCATATATTTCCTTTGCCAGCCACCTTGCTTGATGCAAAGACCCTGGGATCCTAAAACTAAAGTCGTTTTTAAACCAACCAGACCAACCTCCTAGGTACAGGAGTGAGAGTTGTCATAACTCTTTGTAGTCTTCTCTTGGATAACTTCCGTCCTTTAGAACATTTTTTATGTAGTTAACCATTTTGACTCGTTGTTCTTCTAAAAAGCCTTGAAGGGGACTTTCTTAATCCAGCATTGTCGTATATGACTTCTTATCAAGTGAAGCCCACAGACTTTAGAACTTCCGAAAAATCTGGATACCAGGACCACTTGATAGTATAAAAACACTCCTTTTAATACTAGTTCATGGGTGTGATGACGGCAAGCCAACCACAACAATGTTGTCCGAATTCCCTTTCAATTCTGGTACATGCCCCTTGGATCAGTCCTGTATTAGATGCTGTAGTATCAAAAGATATACCGATGATATTGTCACGTAGCCCAAATCGGTCCACTTCCCAAATAACTACTTCAGCCATCAGCTCACCAGTGCCTTTCAGAACAACAGGTACGCCAATCAAATGCTCAAAATCTTTGCCAGTCACTATAACTGCAACTCTATCTTCCAAAGTTTTGACACTCCTATGGGCAACTGAGGGCTAGTAACTAGTGATTTTTTGACAAAATAAAAAAGTTGTTATCGCTGAAATGTTCATAAAATCTGTTTAAATACTTTATTTAAGACATAAACTTTTTCAGTCGTACTTGTTCTTTTATTTTTTTTGGTCACACTAACAGCAGGTTTGTTGGTGTGTGATTTTAAACAAAAATTTACGACTACAGGATGTGGCAATAAAACGAACGCAACAAGAAGTATGCGATTTGTTTAATGCAAAGTATCCAACTCGACCTATTACTCGTTCTACTGTTAAATTGAACAGAAATTTAGAGAGACGGGACATGTCAAAGATATTCCAAAACCTGGCCGTCCGAAAATTAGTGAAGACGCAAAAATTGACATTTTGATACTTGTAGAAGAAGATCCTCACAGTGCTTCTAGCCTAGTCGCAGCTGAAAGTCAAGTCAGTCAACGCTCAGTATTACGTCTGATGAAGAAAGAAAAGTACCATCCATACAAAATTAGACTTGTGCAGGAACTTAACGAAGATGATCCGGACCGTAGACTACAATATTGTGAAACTTTGATGAATTTATGTCATAATAATCCACACTTTCCTCGTAAAATACTTTTTTCGGACGAAGCTACCTTCTGCTTAAAAGGAACAGTTAACCGACAAAATTGTAGGTACTGGAGCAGAGAAAATCCTCATTGGATGGTAGAAGCACATTCTCAATTTCTGCAAAAAGTGAAAGTCTGGCAGGAATAGTGGAAAATCGGATCATAGGTCCTTTCTTTTTTGACGAGAATCTGAGGAGATATTTGGAATTTTTGCAAATCTCTCTTCTTCCTATATTAGCGTAAATGTTTCCCAACGAGGATGGAGATCCTAATCTTCCAAGTAATACTATTTGGTTTCAGCAGGACGGGGAACCTCCGCACTATGCGCATCCTGTCCATACTTTTTTGAACACCTGTTTTCCTGAAAGGTGGATTGGAAGACGAGGACCGATAGAGTGGACCGCGAGATCTCCGGATCTCACCCCTCTCGATTATTTCTTATGGGGCTATCTTAACTCAAAAGTCTACATCAACGGACCACAAAATTTAGAATACTTAAGAAATCAAATTCGTAAAGTATTTCGCTGTGTCAGTGCGGAAACGTTGTCAAAGAATTTTCGGATAGGCTTGCTTACTGCCAAGAAACCAACGGGTGGCAAGTCGGGAATCCGAAAACCGTTATACTCCGCCATAGGTGGGCGAAAAATAGTTTTGCTCAAAACGTTCTTCTGTTTTTAAACAAAAACCTAGCTTCATCGATAAAAATGATATTATTCCACTCATCAATGGACCAATTTTGATGTTCCCTAGCAAATCTAAGGCGTTCAACCCTGAGGTTTCTTAGCAACTCGGATGCGCAGGTCTTCTTGCGTGTAATCCAATGTCAGATAACCTTCTTCTTATCGTTCTCTCGCTTACTTGAACCTGTCGTACGTCCTCTATTATGTTTTTTACCTTCACAAAAGTTACTCTTCGGTCACGTAAAACATTAAGTAGAATAAAGCGATCATCTCGTTCATTCTTACACCTCTTCCTACCACATTGACTTCTTCTACTGTACCGATTTACAGCCCTTTTTACTTTACTTCTTGTGGCGTTTAAAACCCTTGCCACGTAATACCTCAAAAGTAACACATTAATTTAAAAAAACAATTTGATAGCCGTATATGACATGTCCAAATATGGGATAATTCCACAAAACTGTCACTGTCGTCCTCCATAGGCTATGAATGGAGCAATCTTCCCAAATAGCACACGACCTCCCAAGGACATCCTGATTGGGTCTGTCCGGGCCAGTTTAGGATATCCCATTTCTGACGTACCTTGGACGTCCATGGGACGTCCTGAAATTAAATTGGGTATAGTATCCCAGATAACACAAAGGTATACTATGGACGTCCAATGGACGTATGCTCGTGGACGTCTGTATGTACATAGGATGTCCATTTTTTTTCTATGGACGCCCCAGGGACATCCGTTTAGAGTCCAGATGTCACAACTTTGGACATCCATAAGTCGTCCACCGATGGACGTCTATAAGGTGTTTGAACCATTCCTCCACCATCCAGGACCTGCTTTTTTGCTTACTTTAACTAGTTTTTGCGACTGTATTTTCATTGCGATGTTGCAGAAAATTTTCTACAACATGACTGAAATGCCTTTTGTCTGGCTCAGTAACAATCCCACTAGGAATATAAATATTCTAAAAGTTGTTAAAAGTTACAACATTCAATGTTGAACATTGCAGGAAATCCTTGTATTCGACTCAGGAATATTACATTTGCAATACTACAAGTGTTTAACATTTCATTGATAGCTTAGGTCCTTTATAGCACGCGCTTGCTTGAATGTCAGTGAGATTGATCATAACTGTTGTTATGCAGCCAACAATACGTTTTAACTTGCATTTCTGTAATAATAATTATGGACGTAAAATGGACACTATATGGACGTCCATTAAAATCGTACAAAGGATGTAAATATATGGACGTACATAGTACATCCATTTTTAGTCCGTGGACCAATGTACTTAAAATGGATCTTAAACGGACGTCCATTGGACGAATGGTGCTATCTGGGATATTGGGTATCCCATTTCTGACGTACCTTGGACGTCCATAGGACGTCATAGAATTAAAATGGCAATAGTATACCATATATATATCTTCATGCCGTCTTTCCAAAAGGCAAAAAATGTATAGCATTTGCATCATCTGTCACCTGTCTAATGATGCAAAGTGACAGATATCTGTCACCTGTCATATGATGCAAGGCGACAAATATCTGTCACCTTTCATAATCTGCCACCTGTCATTTTCTTATCTGTCATTTGCCACCTTCATTTGTCACCTGTAATATTATACAAGGCGGCAGATATCTGTCACTTTCCAACACCTGTCATTTGTCAACTATCATACCTGTCATTTGTCACCTATCATACCTGTCATTTGTCACCTATCATACCTGTCATTTGTCACCTATCATACCTGTCAGTTGTCACCTATCATACCTGTCATTTGTCACCTGTCATTTCTTACCTGTCATTTGTTACCTGTCATTTATCGTTCTGCATAACTTTGCTTTCTGCGCATAATATCATATTTGAATTTGAATACGGCTGGCTTCGACTGTGCTGCCACCGTTTTGTACCGATCGTTACTCGAAGTGCTCCAAAAGTTGCCGAATTTGCCAACTGTTGGTGTCATAGTAAGGAACGTTTAAATATTTGAATTTAGCGCGTAAGTTTAATATCCGTTAGGGGAGTGTCATATCCGTCAGCGGAAGAAGGGGAGAGAAGAAGAAGAAAGTATCATGCATGGGGGCCAGCTTTTTAAAGGAAATTGGCAACAAATTTTTGAGCGACATCTATCTTTTGCCATCTTGCTCATGCGCGTATCATTCTTGTCGGTGTGACTCATCGTAAAGTTTGACAGTTTGTTATGTGTGTTATGTAGTTTTCAACAATGGCCGATGTTGTTGTTTGAAATTGTGTGTTGTTTTGGTTTTTTTAAGGTAAGTTTAATTATTGTGGTAGGTGATAAACTTTTATAAAACTCCAGTTTTGAATTTCTAAACTAAATAAACCATTCAGTTAGTTATAGAAACAAATTGTTGAATCGTAAATTACTTAATTAATGCTTTGTTTTTTGTTTTCATACATATGCATGTATATTTATATAAAT